GAATTTCTGAATTGTTTTTGAAATTCAGGTTCTGAAATTGAATTTCCAAATCATTTTGGAAATTCAAGTTCTGAAATCGAATTTCTGGACTGTTTTTGAAATTCACGTTCTGAAATTGAATTTCTGAGGTGTGCGGGAGGCGAAAACGGGGACGATTTGGGGGAAAAATGGAGCAAATCAGGAGTTTAGGTGCGGGTTGCACGAGGTCCTGGACGGACACCTACCTTGACCTTGCGCGGGTGCTCCTGGCTCATGCTGATGACGTTGCCGTAGACCTCCAAGGTGACGGTTTTGGTGAAGGACACGGCTTTGCTGCCCCGGTTGTTGTTCTCCACCTTGACGACGAAGGGGACCAGTTGGGGGTCTTGGGTGCAGAGGGCGGCGAACTGGTAGATGCACGTCCCTTGGAAGTCGTACCTCAGCCCGTCGAAGGTGGTGTAGTGAGGATCGCCCGTCCCGATGCAGGTGAAGGACTTCTTCGCCTGGCAGCTGGCGACGCCGCCGACCGCCACGCACTTCTCGTGGGCTTTGCACCCGCCCTTCTTGCACGCCACCTTCCCCCCGGCCTCGCATCGGCACCGGCTCTGGCAGCTCCCGTCCTCCCAGAACTCCTCCCGGATCTTGTAGGAGCGGCCGTCGTGGCTACAACCGCAGGTCTCCACCGGGACGCAGGTGCCGTCGTGGAGGACGAAGCCCTGGTTGCACTGGCAGCTGGCCGCGCACGGCCGGCTGCAGGACGCGGGGGCTTCGGGGTGGGCGCAGGTGGCGGGGCACGCCGGCCCGCAGGCCTCGAAGTGGCTGTTTTGGGGGCATCTCTGAGCTGGGGGGGGGTGATTTTTGGAGAAGAAGACGTCAAAAAAATACAAGGGATGAGCTAAGCACTTTCCTTAGGGGGACATCAGGTTCCTACGCTGGAGGTGTTGGCTCAGCTGATGCCTACAAGTGATCTGGAGTCCCTGAGACACCCCGTGGGGGTGGCCTTCAAGAAAACCCCTACGTAATTCCACGTGTTATGGACATCTGAAGTCAGATAAAGTGGATTTTGGGTCGGTTTGGCATGAAAAGAGCATCGCAACCCTTCCCCCATGCTGGAGATGCTGGTGAGGTTGACGTCAACAAACATCAACTTGGTGGGCTGGACAGCAACTCTCAGATCCCCACGGCCAGATCCCCATGTGAATCCCCTTCTTTCATCCCAAAAATGCTTGGAGACCCCCCCAAGATGAGCTCACCACAGCCTGCGGTGTCCTGCAGCGTCTCCTGGCTTCCACAGTCCTCCTGGCAGGAGGGATCTCGCCAGCTTTCGGCCCAGTCCTCCATGCTGGCAGCCTGAGTGCCATCAGGAAGCGTCATCTCGTCCTCCATGTCCTCGTTGAAGTTGCCGCAGAGCCCACAGGTGGCTCCGAAATAGCTGCTGGGCACCGCCACCATGATGGCCCAGTCTTCGTCATAGGTCACCTGCAGCCCAAAATCCGTTTGCAGGATGGTCCAACCGTCGTTTTGGGAGATCTGAATCTTCCCACCTTCCAGGGTAGCTGGCAGACCGGTGAGTTCGTTGTTGACCTTGGGAGGGGAAAGAAGACGAAGGGTTAAATCTCAGCGGGTGGTGGTTTTGCTGAGAGTTCCCACCCCCCCAAAAAAGCGTGGAGATACAACCAGAAAGAGAAATTCCTTTCAGGAAGGGGGAATCACCAGCAGAAAACAGCCGGTTTTGCCCCACGTCCTGTAGATACGCAACAGGGAGAAGATCAAAACCCGAACGTGTCGTGAGAGAACCATCTCCTTCAACTTCGGAGCTGAAAATCTCGTTTCTGGTGAGACCACGGAACTACACGGCTGGGAGAAACCACATCTAACGTAGACTCCAGGTCTCACCTAGACTCCCTTCATTGTGGTAGGTCTCCATGGCTGGTGGACCTCATGGGTGAAACCAACCTCGCAGTAGAGTTGCACCCTTAAAATTGCCTTTTTCTCCATGCTGACCAAAAAGTGAGGGCAGTTTAGTTGGAGACACCTCAGAGGCCATCTTGAGTCAGGTACCAAACACCCTCTCCTTGGCCGTGCCTCGATCCGTCATCCAAAATTTCCCAATACGCTGCAGTTTTGGCGGTTCTCCTCATTTTTTAGTTTCAACCTCGCCCACCATGATGTTTTATCCTCTTCCTCTTGGCACAAAACGCTGCCACGGCCTGGATAAAAAAACAACCCACCTGGATTTTGCCTCCTTCTCCTTTGTAGATGGAGATGTTGTAGCCGTAGACGTAGATGTCGGTCAACCCGTCCTTCAAATTGCCTTCGCTCTTCTCCTCCACGACGAAGGGCACCAGGGTGGGATCGTTGCCGCAATACTTGGCGATGGTGTAGAGGCAGCCACCCCGGATGTCCACGGTCATCCCGTCGAAGGTGTGGTACTGCAGGGACTGCGACCCCGTACAGGTGCCCATGTAGTCATGCACGCACACGGCCTCCCCCTTCTCCGTCCTGCACGTCTCCTTGGCGCGACATCGCACCAGCCGGCAGGGATCTGGAAGAAATGGCAAGAAATGTCCGCATCGGACAGCGTCACCGTCACTGTCGACGGTCAACCAGCACCTCCAGATCTCCACTATGTGAAAGCCAGGATTTATCTCAAGAAGGTTTAAACCATCTTAAACTTAGACTTGAACATCTGGGTTGAACGTTGGAGGCTCCTTTCATGGATTATTTAATTAGAGATTATTTATTTATAGATAAAATTTCATCCCAGGTGGGTTTAACCACCTTGAGCTTGGACTTGAACATCTGGGATGGTCTTTGGAGGCTCCTTTCATGGATTGTTTAATTACAGATGATTTATTTATAGATAAAAAAACATCCCAGGTGGGTTTAACCATCTTAAACTTGATGGTTTAGATGATGACCTATCAGGATGATAGACTTGAACATCTGGGTTGGTCACTGGAGGCTCTTTTCATGGATTATTTAATTACAGATGATTAATTTCCAGGTTATCTAGAGATAACAATTCATCCTAGGTAGGTTTAACCACCTTGAGCTTGGACTTGAACATCTGGGTTGGTCGTTGGAGGCTCCTTTCATTGATTATTTAATTAGAGATGATTTATTTATAGATAAAAAACCATCCCAGGTGGGTTTAACCACCTTGAGCCTGGACTTGAACATCTGGGATGGTCTTTGGAAGCTCCTTTCATGCATTGTTTAATTACAAATGATTAATTTAGAGATTATTTATAGATGACAGATTTATGGAAGACAAATCGTCCTAAAATCCCCCCAAAGCCCCGCTGGATTAATTACCCCCTCTTAGACCTTGTTCTACAAGACGAAAAACTGAGTTCTCAGCTCAAAATCGCCAATTTCAGGTATTTTTCTAGACACCAGCTCAGCGTCGATCAGTTTTGGGGACGGAAAGGGGGAACGTTGCCAACACCCGGCTCGGCGGGAATGAATTTGGACTCCCAAAATCATGGGGTTTGGCCTCGCGTTGCCACCGCGGCATTGGGAGGGGGCAGGAGGGATGGAAGAAGGTGGGGGGTGAAGGTAGCCGGAGGTGGCCCCGGGGCTCTCACCGCTGTCGCAAACGGCCGCCGACCCGTAGGCCTTCTGCTCGCGGATCCCTACGCTGAGCAGACCGAAGGGCGACGTCTTGTGCTCCACCGCGTGGACGGCGAATTGGCGTCCCAAACTCTGCCCCGCCCAGGAATAATCGGTTCCCGGCACCGGCTTCCACGCCACGTTCCTCAACGGCGTTTTGTTGAGCAGAATTCCGGATGTGTCCGAGGTCTTGGCTACCAGCAGGGCGTAATTGTCGTAACCCTCCAGGGAGAAGATGTTGTAGGAGTGGCAGTAGCTGGAGACGGCCGGGATGGTCATAAAAAACGGGTCGTAGGAGACGGCGTCTTTGTCACCGCCGTCGGCAAAAAAAACGACTTGGATGCCAGCGTTGGCGGAGAGGTACAAGGTGTTGGAGGCTTGGAGGCCGTAGAGCGTTGACCGGCTGGGCCGTAGCTCCCGGATGGTCTTGGTGACCCCGTGTTGAGACTCCACTCGCGTCGGCTGGGAGGTGGAGACGTAGATGATGTCAGACTGAGTCTCGAAAGGCAACGGCGGCACGATGAAGGTGGTGCCCCAACTGGAAACGGGCTGGAGCTGCTCAGCCAAATGGTCACACTGGGCGAACCTGGCCAAGCAAGTGTGGCCGGTGAAGACAGCCACGGGTTTCTGCGCCACGATCCTTGTGCCGGACATATCAGACGGGCTTTGGAGCTGGGCTGCTTGGAAGGGGTCCAGTGGGATGGAGAGCACTGAGCCCCGCGGGTAAGACCGGCCTTGGTAGGTCACCGTGGCTTTGAGGTGCACGTCAACGGTGGTGGGCTCATCCCAGGCAGCCACCACGAACTCGCCGTAGCGGTCAGTGCCCACGTTGGGTGTCACAACGTGGTACTCCGTCCCCCAGCTGTGCACCGGGTATACCACGGTTGAGTCAACCGAGGTGGGCTTCTCATTGACCATCACCAAGGAGATGGCGTTGTTGGCCTTCACCACCACGGTGTTGTCAAAGGTTTTACTTCCCACCATCTCAGCTTGGGGCGGGACCTTCACCAGGATGGTTTGGCCCGTGGTTGCCTGCACCGTCATCCTCAAGCCCGGCTTCTTCATGGAGATGGTGACGGATGTGAAGGGCGAATAACCCGTGATGAGCAGCTTGAAGTCGCTGTTGAGGGTCTGCTGCAGCCCGTTCTGCATGAAGGCCACCACAAAGTCTTCCCCCAGGTGATGCGGCGCCGACGCAGCGACACCGAGCAAGGAAAAAACACCTAGAAGAGCCCGAGGAAGAGGAGAATTTGCCATCAGTGCCTTCATCATCCATGAGGTCACGTTTGGCAACCCCAGACAGGGACCAAGACTCAAGCTGGGCTTAAAGTGGCACCTGGTTTGATCTTGGTGGCCAAGGAACGGTGATTTGGTGGGATGTGAATTTTGAGAAATAACAACTTGAATTAATGTTGACTCGATTGATTATTGATTTGATGGATGACTGATTTGACAGAATTCTGATTTGATGGACTTGATTTGACGGATCTTGGGTTGATGGATTTTGCGTTGAGGAATTTTGGTTTGATGGATGTTGGTTTGATGGATTTTGGGTTGATGGATTTTGGTTTGATGGATTTTGGGTTGAGGAATTTTCGTTTGATGGATGTTGGTTTGATGGATGTTGGTTTGATGGATTTTGGGTCAATGGATTTTGGTTTGACGGATTTTGGGTTGAGGAATTTTGGTTTGATGGATGTTGGTTTGATGGATTTTGATTTGATGGATTTTGGTTCGATGGATTTTGGGTCGATGGATTTTGGTTTGATGGATTTGGGGTTGACGGATTTTGGTTTGACGGACTTTGGTTTGACAGATTTTGGTTTGATGGATTTTGGTTTGACGGATTTTGGTTTGACGGATTTTGATTTGATGGATTTGGGGTTGATGGATTTTGGTTTGATGGATTTTGGGTTGATGGATTTTGGGTTGACGGACTTTGGGTTGACGGACTTTGGTTTGACGGATTTTGGTTTGATGGATTTTGGTTCGATGGATTTTGGGTCGATGGATTTTGGTTTGATGGATTTGGGGTTGACGGATTTTGGTTTGACGGACTTTGGTTTGACCGGTTTTGGTTTGATGGATTTTGGTTTGACGGATTTTGGTTTGACGGATTTTGATTTGATGGATTTGGGGTTGATGGATTTTGGTTTGATGGATTTTGGGTTGATGGATTTTGGGTTGACGGACTTTGGGTTGACGGACTTTGGTTTGACGGATTTTGGTTTGATGGATTTTGGTTCGATGGATTTTGGGTTGACAGATTTTTATTTGATGGATTTTGGGTTGACGGATTTTGGATTTGAGGGGTTATCAAGTTGGAGAAACAAGTTCCATTGATTTGAAAAATACTGAATTGAAGAAATCATTTTGAAGGAAAATCCAGTGGGAGGATGATCGATTGGAAGAAACAGCAATTTTTAAAAATACCAATTAATTCCCAGGGTGGGGGTGGGGGGGGTGGGGAAGAGCTTTTTGGGTGGGTTTTGTGCTGGATGGAGGAATTCGAAGGGAGAAATTAGGATTTTTAAGGCGTCCCCTTTCACCGCCAGAAAACCACGGGGGTGGAAACGTGGACATCCGTGCAACCCGGGGGGAAAATTTCCCTATTTTCAACCAATCTCCCCCAAAACAAGTCTTGGGTGGAGTCTTTGCCCCTTGGATTCCCCTCTCCATGTCATGGGGGGACGGAATTTTGTCACTTCTGGACCGTTGTGCGGGATGAGGGCGCGAAACGTGGCCTCATGGACTGGAAAAATCTCATTTTGAGGCAATTCAGTGGGTTTTGGGGTGAATTTTTCAGGTTACGACACGTTTCTCCGCCCTCATCCGAACTCACCCCACAACACGA